ATAGAATGGGTTTTTTTGAGGGAAATAATTGTCTATTTGACGATTTTTTGCAAGACTTTAGGGCTTATTTTTTGTCAATTTCTGGTCAAAAGGGCAATTTTTTGAAAAAACCAGCTTTTTTACTATAATCAGTGTAAACTGTTTAATTTTAGATAAGAAATGGGGTTTTTTAAGGGAAAAGAATTGTTAAATTTGACGATTTTCAAGCTAGCTTTTTTGTCCAAATTCTGGCATCCAAAAGGGGCAATTATCTTGAAAAAAACCATTCTTTTACTATATACAAAAGTGGAAACCTGTTAAATTATTAAGATAGAAAATGGGTTTTTCTTGAGGGAATATGTTTAAATTTGTGATTTTTTGCAAGCCTATAGCTTACTTTTTTGTCAATTTCGGATCCAAAAGGTATTATTTGAAAAACCAGCTTCTTTTACTATAATACAAGTGGAACTGTTAATATTATTAAGATAAGAATGGGTTTTTTTGAGGGAATAATCTGTCAAGTTTGGTAGATTTATTGCCAGCTTAGCATTATTTTTTTGTTAAATTTCTGGCATCCAAGACGGGCAATTTTTTAAAAGAACCAGCTTCTTTTACTTTAACTGACCAGTGGAACTGTTAAATATCATATTATAGAATTAAGAATGGGTTTTTTTGAGGGGAAATAATCTGTCAAGAATTTGACGATTTTTTGGAAACTATAGGCTATACTTCTTTTTTGGTCCAAATTTCTGGCATAAAGGGTTCAATTTTTTTAAAAAAGACAGCTTTTTTACCTATAATACAGTGAAGATGTTATTCTATTAAGTAGAAATGGGTTTTTTGAGGGGAAATTATCTTTAATTGACGATTTTTTGCAAGCTATAGTTATTTTTTTCAATTTTGGATCCAAACAAGGGCTATTATTTGAAAAAAACAGCTTCTGTTTACTATATAAAGTGGGAGTCTGTTAATATCTATTAAGATAAGAATGGGGTTTTTTTTGAGGGGAATAATCTTTAACTTTGAACGATTTTTTGGAAGACTATAGGTTATTTTTGTCCAATTTCTTGGCTCCCAACAGGGCAATTTTTTTGAAAAACCAGCCTTTTTTTGTTTTTTACTATAATCAAGGTGGACTGTTAAATTATCTATTAAGATAAGAATGGGTTTTTTTGAGGGGATAATCTGTAAGGATTGAGATTTATTGCAAGCCTGATAGCCTTATTTTTTTGTAATTTCTGGTCCAACAGGGCATTTTTTTGAAAAACAGCTTTCTTTTACTATAAATAAAGTGAATGTTATTCTATTAGATGAAATGGGTTTTATTTGAGGGGAAATATTGTTAATTTGGACGATTTTTTTGGAAGACTATAGGCTTATTTTTTGTCAATATTTTTGCATCCAAAAAAGGGCAATTTTTTTTGAAAACAGCTTTCTCTTTACTATAATCAAGTGTGAACTGTTAAAATATCTATTAGATAAGAAATGGGGTTTTTGAGGGGAATATCTGTCTAAATTTGACGATTTTTTTGCAAGCTATAAGGTTAACTTTTGTCAATTTCTTAGGCATCCAAACAGGGCAATTTTTGAAAAAACCAGTTTTTTTCTATAATAAAGTGAATGGTTAAATTCTTTAAGATAAGAAAATGGGTTTTTTGAGGGGAAATAATCTGTCTACATTGGTTTTTGCAAGCATGCTTATTTTTTTGTTCAAATTTTTGGCATAAAAGGGCAAATTTTTTGAAAAAACCAGTTTCTTTTAATTAATCCAAGCTAATGTAATATTATTAAGATAAGAAAATGGGGCATGAAAAACAACCCTTTTATGGCTAGTACTTTTTGCTTGGCTTTGAGTGGAAGCTTCTCTGAATAATAATGCTTTTGTAGCAAGTCTATAATTACTTTTTTGTGAAAATCAGAACAGAAAAGAGGGAATAACTTAAACATAAAAGCATCTACGTTAAAAGCAAGTTAAGAAACTGGTAAATGTTTATAGATGGGGTTAGTGTGTATTGAGCTTGAAATTCTGTCAATTGATTATTTATTGGAAGGCATACGTTTCTTTTTTGTTGGAAGATAGAGTCCATTGAAACAGGATTTTATGTAGGAAACAAGACTAATATAAGGGCGCATATAGTTTAGGTTGTTTTCTTGGGGGGTCTTTTTAAGAACTGAGTTTCGATTTTTTAGCCTAAAAATCATGGAAAATTCAAACTTTGGAAAACTGTACTGTACTTTTTTCAAAATTGGGTAAGTCAAAAAGAGATCTTATTATGGAAAACTTTATGAAAGAAATTATTTTTATTATATTTAATCTATTATTCCTTAAAAACTTAAGATATAATTATTTTAGAGCTTATTTAGATGAGAAAATTCTGATGGTGAAAAAATGAAATATAAAACTTGTACTCAGTGTAATTATATATATATGTTTTAAGGCTTAACATATACATAACATGTTATAAGACAGAAAAATAGATGATATGAGTATTGCGACAGTTTTAGATGTAGCCTTTTATGTGAGAGTGTGTTTGTTAAGTGAGGGCAGAATTTGAAAGTTTGACAAAAGGCACGAAATAGGATATCTAGACACACTACATCAAGCAGCTTTAAGGATTCCAAGGATCGTGGGGTAAATCGTTGAGGATCAGTATCTACAAGGTTTATGGAACCATTCATTATTTGCTTCTGCAGACTGATATACAGCCTAGTTAAATTTAATATACACTCTTCACGTATAAGACTATTTTTTTCGCATTAGAAATATTCCAGATGGATTTGTTATCATCAAATTTATTATCTGTATTATCATTATATAGGTTTCAAAAATGTTTCGACTAGTAAGTTTCACAGAAGATCAATCAGGAATTTTATAACAAAATAGCTTATGTCAAAAGTCTGATGATCAACTCCATTATCAATGCTTGGGCATTTATTCATCACTGTTGTCAAATCTAAGTTAATACAGAATTGCCTATCATAGTGGAATGTAAGGCTTTCAAATAAAGGTTCGGGAAATGGTTTTTGTAGGTTTTTATAAAAGTAAGATGCACTGATTTCTAAGTTTTGTTTTATTGATTCTTGAACAAGGACGCAAATTTTTTACTCTCATTTCATTAAGGATTTGTGATTTTAAATATTTAGAGTTAAACCTAGAGCCTTTTTTGGCCTAGATCGATAACTGTTATAATGTTGCTAAATGATCTCTTACGGAAACTCTAATCTTAATTGCAATAAAAAATTAATTTGAAAAATATTGTACATACAGTTGCAAGAATTTTGTATACTACTTTTTGGAAGACATTCAGGCTATTAATTGAGTTGTGCTATATATTGAACAGAATAGTGATGTTTAATGTGGAGCAGGAGAGAGAGATGTTAATGGTTCTTGGGCTACGATGAGTGTTTTTAAATGCAGATGCGAAGTTCAAACCGTATTGTTCAAACAGGACAAAAGGGTGTACTTGAAAATGAGACATACATGAAGACATAAAAAAATACGTTATAAATTTTGCAGAAAGTCTTTTACCAAGAAGGTGAGCTGTATACGTTTATAAGGAGATGAGTCCTTAGTGAATATTTAGTGTATAAAAGTCAATTTCATACTGGTATGACGCCGCAAGGTGGCCTTGATAAGGATTTTACTCATCGGTCAGTACTTCTTGTTAAAGATTGAGTCCATGGAAAAGGCTTCTATATAGGGGTTATTTGTTTCAGCGTGATGTTGCTGTTTACGTGATATTGGCATCGTTAATGATGAATTGCTATTGATGGAAACTGTTTGTCATCATACGGAGGTGGTCATAGTGACCATGTTTAAGGTCACAACAGATCGTCGTATAAAATCGTGATATCAGCGGATTGTTGCATTTGGGTATACCATAATTTTAATCATGATCATGTTATAAACTTCCATAGAAACAATTATGGAGAAAACCAACAAG